ACTCCTCCCTGTGGCGTCCAATGTTCAAAGGATTGTGAAGTGGAACTTCTCACGCCCCTGAACAAGACACTTGCAGATCTGTTCGAAAGATACATTCTAATCCAGCTCAATAATTTACCCCGGATACCAAAGCTTACTAATTGTTTTAGGATAACTTCCCTGTTTGCAATGTCAAAAGCTGACTTAAGGTAAAAAAAAAAAAAAAAAAAACAGTGTGCTTCCCTGGATTAGAGTTTGAGTAGTACTCTGCAAAGCAATGTTGTGCGCTACGTCCTGATAGAAATCCAAACAGTCTGCGAGATAATTTACCTTGCAACCTGTACCTGAGTCTGTTCAAAATTATCCTTTCTAGAACCTTGCATACACGTGAGGTTAGTGAAATAGGGCGCTATTTATCAGTGTTTGGTTTCGGTATAGGGATGATTAGACTGCGCGTCCAGAGGCCAGGCAGAATACCTTGTGGAAAAGGGGACTGCCAGGTACCTGAGCTATAAGGCGGACACTATAGGTAATTCCATCTTCACCTGGTGCAGACGGTTTTCCTTTGATCAGTGCAGTGTTCAGTTCCCACTCAGTAATCTCAGCAAAGTCTGAAGGGTCGGTCTCAGAACATCCAATATCAATGGCAAATTTACGTGCAATTATAGAGTGACTAAGGTGCTTCTGAATATTTGTGGGAAGTGAGCTCAATTTGGACGCTCCAGCCCATTGACTAAGAAGCATGTCTGCTTGTGCAAGAGGACTATGGAACTGTGGGGTATTAGATGGTTTGCCTGAGAGTCGATTAATCTTTTTTCCAGACCTCAGACACTGAGGTGTCATTGTTAATGCTTTGTAAGAACTGTTCAGTGTCCTTTTCTGAAATGAGTTTTTAATTCCCGTAGATTTTTGTTAGCCTTAAGAAACTGAATAAGGTTGTCACGGATATTGTCCTGCTTGTAGATATCAAGAAGCTCCTGAACTCGCTTGGGTTGTTTTAGGCGTTGTGGATTGTTGCTCTTTAAGGTTTTCTTTGGGCAGACCCAGGTGTTGTAGTAATCAGTGACCACTTTCGCCATGTCCATGGAGAATTTATCAACACTCGTTACTGTGTAGTCGTTATACCAGTCATAAATACGTGATTTAAAGTGGTGCTCAAGGTAAGGAGGAATAGAAATTTTAAGCCTATTTGTTTTTGCAGATAGACTATTATCAACAGTGTATCTCGTTACTATTGCAAAGTGGTCACTAATTATCTCTGTTGCAAGCAGATCTGAAGGGCTCTTGTTGACAGATAACGTCAACATTATTGTTATGAATGTAGTAAAGCAAGTCAATTCTACGGTTGACACCACGTATATTCCATTATTTCAATTATTTTCTTGTCCCCCATCACATCCTATGATTAGCTGATTGGTCAAATTTGTGTTTGATGAGGCTCTTTAGTCTGCATATTTCTTGTACAGCATTACATATCTGTGTTGCATCTTGTTTATTTACACCGATTCTGCGCGCTTTTCTCTTATTGATATTATACGTATAATCCGTACCTGATATCATTTTCTGAGTTCGTCCGTTTCCTGCATATCTCCGTCGGCGTTGTTTTCACTGTTACTGTCGTCACCGTTTTCAAATGATTCGTCAATGGTATCTTGTGTAATAACATTATCAGAGACCTCATTCGTATTTTCGACATCACTAACATCATTAGAAAGCATATTTTCCCTGTCTACTACCCGATCGCTTTTTATTTCCATAATCATTTTTCTCATTTCAACAAGCTCTTGCCTGATGCTTTCATTCCTATTTTCAGTATTACTAATATCACTATAAAGCATATTTTCCTTGTCTTCTCCCCGATTACTTTTTATTTCCATAATCATTTTTCTCATTTCAGCGAGTTCTTGCCTGAAGCTTCTTATTTCCTCAATCACTTCCTTGTTTTGTTCATCACTGGTCACTCCTGTGGCACTGTTTCCTGGGATAGGGAATCCCCCTGGTAGTTGCGGGAATTACTGTGGGTTGGTGACGTCACACGGCACTGGGTGGGGTGTGGCTGGGGTGGGCATCGCCACTCCGCGGTCGATGGGTACGGTCAGGGCAGGGGGGGGGGGGGTGCGCGTGGCGGTTTGTGGGGGCTGTTACGGTGCCAGGCCGCCACGCCTTGCTCTCCGCACCTGACGCACCTCTTCACGATAGTGACGATGTCTCCGTTGTCGTTGTCTTTTTCATTTTTCTTACAGGGCAGTCCTTTGTCCGGTGAGCTTCTGCACAAACAGCACAGGCTGTTTCTTTCCTGCAGTATTTTTCTATGTGGCCGTAACCCTGGCACTTATAGCAGGCCACAACCTCTGAGCTCCACGGTCGAATGGAGCTTGACTCTATATATCGTCCATACTCTTTGGGTGGCGGATGTTCTCCGCTCCATACAGTGACGATCCTATTTAGGGGTTGTTCGTCCTTGTAAATCCTCCGACCTTTAAAAACACCCGGAAGATGCAGTGCTTCTTCTGCGGCGGCCTCCTTCGGAAACCTGGTAACTAGATATTCCCCGTATCTTTTGCTTTTGGGCCGATGGTCGTCTTTATTCTAGAGAGAAATTCCTGCGAAAGTGGCATTTACCATGAGGGCCACGTATTTTTGTTGTTCCCGCCGTAAATAGACGTAGCGAGAGGATGTCAATTTCCCCTGCACCATGTCAAGCGGGCCTTCCTATTGGAGGGGCGGGAGCTAGCTGACTTCCCTCATCCACTTGATTTTATCGACGGTAGACGTGTCCTCCGGAAAGGCCAGTCCATCGCCCGGGGGGCGATGTGTTCACGTTGTTTGATCGTTACTCCGGTTGCTTTATCGGTCACAGTTGCTGGTGTGGTGTTGCGACGTGGTCTTCACTGTCTTCCTCCTCTTCTGAACGAGTTGGAATCCCTCGTCATCCACATCGGGGTCGACAGGCGAATCCACACCGTTCATTTCCCTTATGTTCAGTGAAATCATGAGGGGGTGGTAGATGGCAATGAGGGGGCCCCGAGCACGTCCCCCTCCCCCTCCATGATGAGACAGTGAGGAGGTGGTTGTCCACGTCTACGGTGATTAATTCCCTGCGGTCGGGCGCGGGGAGGGTGCAAGCGCCAGGTCAAGTGCTGTCACGCATACACTCACCAGGGCTCGTCAAATGTCGTCCGTACAGCACCCTGTTACCCTGGCACTACACTCAATATTCGTAACTTTTACTAAACACTTGTTTTTTTTTCTAGATGCCTTGGCCATAGTATCTGACACAATTTGGTGAGTATACACCCACGCACACTGTCTGGGTATAAGGACAACCCAAGTGAGGGGGTTTATCCCCGTAAAATCGTTCAGAACACAGGAGAATTCCTAGTGAAGTCCTGCCTTGGTGTTACTAGGCTTTGAACGCGATTGATGAGATACTGAAACATAGACAGTACTATCCGTAGAGTTTTTGTACGAATGCTAGGAAGTCACAATATGGTGGTGCGCACGGTGTTTCGATAACTTTTCGTATTCTTTCCACAGTATTTCCTTCCTTTCCAACATCATAGTGTCGCTTATGAGAATAAGGTTTCTTGAACAGTGTTCACTAAAACAAATGTGCTAGAAGGTATGGGTGAAAATGACTAACTCTTAAGATATTAATTTTCATTCATACCCTTTTCTACCAGGAGGTTCCTGATAAACATCCGAATTATTCTTTTAATTTCAGTACGAAACGAGGTTTGATAAACCCTGATTCAGATGTATTTTTGTCAACAAAGAACGCTATTTCACGTGAACATCAAGATTACACTGCTAACAGTACTAAGAAATTGTACTCCTTTTATCCAACATACCTACTTAACCACATCTAAAAAAAAATATTCATGAAATAATAAACAAATAAAAAATAGAATAAAATCCATCTACTCGAACCTGGGAGAAGAAAGTCGCCTCCACCAACAGGCCAGTTAAGCCAACCATTATTCGCTCGTTAAAGTTGTTGATCGGGAAGAAGAAGACGAGGTAGCCGATCACGACGATGATGAGGGTAGGGACGTACGTGGAGGTGATGTAGAAAGTAGAAAGGTTTTCTAAGTACAGCTGAACTTCTACCATGCTGTAGTCACCCTGAAAGAAGAGGAATTACGTTATTAACTTAAGCATTAATTTAGATAGTATCCTTTCCATCTATTCACGCATTAAGCTGATTTTAAACTTTCATATTGCGTGGATATAACAAAGACATCCTTAAAGCTATCAGTGAGTTCTTAGTGAAGGTCATTATTGATATGTATAGAGGAAAAAGACAAATTGATTATGATTACTGAATATTATGACAATCATTTGACCGTACTATAACTAACTGGATGGTGAATATAACTGCTTATAATATAATGACATTTTTCGAATATGTTTTCATCAAACCAACCAACACTAATATAAGAGCATCTTTCCTTCGACAAACAACGAGAAAAAGGACAGGAACGAGAGAAGAAAAACAGCACAATTGGCTGCGTAGTTCCACATGCAAATAACAAACAACAAAAGAGACGTCCTCTAAACACTAATTATCCCACGCTAAACTACAACTACAACAGACAGTCGTTACCAAATCTTTCTCGGCGATCTTTTCGTACACGAGCTTGTACTGAAGCATCCCCCTGCGACCACTGAAGACTACGCTGTCCGCATCCGCTGTTAATCTTACGTAGTTCTTCGTTATGTCAGATAGTTTTATAATCTGTTCAAAAGGCTCAGGATATTAGAAGACTGAAGGCTTCTGAGTCTACTTATCATACATATTCTTAAAAATAGACATACTGTTAGAGCGGTGGCTACGGGCCAACTCTTATGTTTTTTTTTATTTGATATATATACATACTTTGAAACTGATCTACTCATTTGTTCTAATCGTTGTGATAACTGACCATAGAGCACCTCTGTGTGTCGAAAGGAAATTTTTCCAAATCAAACTGGCAGGACGTTGCTACAGTCAATTTCTGTACCTGTAGTAGAGAGTTTTCACTTCCCAAAAACACTTCACCTGGAAGCAATTTAGGGCAAGAAAAATAACTTCATAGAAATATGCTGATTCATTAGTATAAAGATATAGTATACAAGAGCGATATAACTAATTAATATATATGTATATCTCTTTCTCCCTCTTTTTCATTTCCAACCACATCTCTCCTCTTTCCTCTCTCTCACCTCATTCTCTCAGTCTAGGAGAGAGAGAGCAAGAGAGAGAGAGAGAGAGAGAGAGAGAGAGAGAGAGGAGAGAGAGAGAGAGAGAGCAGATCACAATGGCATCTCACTCTCCTGGGCCTCTTCATCATTATCCTCCAGAGGCCCCGAATATCGCCGGACGTTCAGGGAACCTCGTCGTGCGCTGACGTCACTCGTGGTCCGTCCGTCTCCGAGGAACTCCAGCTTGGGCATCCAGGGCTGTCGCTGCTTCCCGTTCAGAGAGTTGAGTGTGCTGGCGTTGTTCAGGTGTCGGAATTGCAGGCGCGAGTCAAACCACTCGGTTGTCACTTCGACGTCGCAAGTGAACCGGAATTCACCCACGTCGATGCTTCGGATGGCGTAGATGTCGAGGTTGAGCTTGACGGAGACGGGGCTTAAGGCGTTGGTTCGAGGGGGAGGGTTGTCGCTGTTGTAAGAGTGGTCGAGGGTGAGAAAGTCGCAGTCCATTTCGTCCGATTCATCGCGGCAGTCGATCTCCAGGTTACAACGATGCTGGATATCGATACAACTTCCGTCATTGCAGGAGAACTGTCCGTCTTTGCAAGATGTTATCAGAATGGTGACGTTGGTTCTGCCACAGACATCGTTTACGACGGTCCATGTATGTCTTCCAAAGGGGTAATCATAAGGGGAGTCTGTCTGCAATGTGGCCTTCACGGATGGTTTGTCTGAGCGGGAAATCTGCCAGAAATCGTAGGCGCGTGTATCTGCATATCCGTCCTGAGACGGAAAGTACCTGGTGATCGTAGAATAATATATGCCGGTGAAAGTAATCCAACCTTTATCATGAGTGAGGAAATACTGGCGGTCGAAGTGAGATCCCTTACACAGTCCCCGAGCCTTTAGCAAGAACACTTTATCCTGTTGGCAAATTGCGCATCGCAGGTTACTGCAGGCAGTGACAGACCATCCAGCATGCTGATTTGCAATTGCATTTTTATCACCTACAAACGATACACAGGTGAGGGGTTCCTTAACTGAGGTGTTTTCCAAGAGGAAATTGGTGTACTGAAGGATTTTGCCGGTAATGTAATGGGTCCATGTTTGGCTGGTCACATTCCCCTTGACGCCCAGCCAAAAGGAATCCACGTATCCGATGTTGCACGCTTCAGCGTAACGCGTGGTTTTGTTGAAGATCAATAGGTTCGCTTCCTCGCTTGTGGGGACCTTGACAGCACCGCCAGAAACGTTGCAAAAACGGTTGGCTTCTTTGAATGTTCTCGGCTCGGGGAAGATGAGGATGTTGTTCCATTCTCCCAGGCAGTAGTCTTCCTGAAATTGCTCAAACTGAACATTTACCGCTTCGAAATCCCGCTGAACATTAGAAAAACTGATCACAGGAGTCGAATTTGTATTTAACGTCGACCTGCATCTACTAAAAGTCCTCATCTCCTCACCGGACAACACGTGATCATAAAGCCTGAACTCGGCCAGAACTCCGCTCAGGCTCTGCAGCTGGACATAGCCGCCGTTGTACGCGTCCTGGTCTTGCCCCAACACCAGGTTTCCTCCGCCGCGAAGCCCATGGCACGTGTTATTAGAATCTTGAAGCCCAAACCTCTTGACTCTGTTTTCGAAAAGGAGTTCAACGGATCGAACCTCAAGATCGAGTGCCACACAGACGGGGACCCACTGGCGCAGAGGAACGGTGAAATTTAAAGCTTCTCCCACAGATCCACAGTACTGCACGAGGATGTTTTGGGTGTCATGTGCAAAAGCTGTAAATGATTCCTTTCTTATTATTTGTATCAAAACAGGGTTCTTTTAAAACACATTTACGGTTGATAACATATAACTAGGCCCTCTACAATAGTAATTAGAATCCCTGAAAGGTAGAAACCATTCAGACGGAACTTTTATATGATCTATAGAGTTCTTGATCAGGCCAGAGGCAGCTTCTCGTATAATTCCGTACAATTTGATAAGGCCACTTGATATGAAATTCGTATAAAATACTGCCTTCCCCAACAGAGATTTAATTAATACATCATATAATACGAGGGATTCACCATTTGCTCTGGCTTTCGTGTAGGATAAATATGTAAGGGTTATTCGACAAGTTTTTACTGAAAATCAACAATATCAGGCAGAATAAAGGAGGGCACAGAAGGGCGGGGGATGGGGCCAAGGGTGCTTAGGGCCGTACCCTTTTCTTCATATCAAAAGGCACCTCTTAATTATTATCAGAGGAATATATTCGTTCACTCAAAGGTGGGAAAGAAAGTGCCTACTTTGTCAAAATAATAGATATAAAATAGTTTTTTGGTTAAAATGAGAGACAAAAATTGCCTGGTCTGTTTAAATGAGGGAACGAAACTATCATTTTAGTCAAAACGAAGGGGAGAAAATTCCCTTTTAGTTAGAATCAGGAAAGTAAAAGTAAGGTTTGCCTCTTTTCAGTTGAACCCTGCACTTCTGAAAGTCATCAAGGCAGACTGTATATGGCGGGAACGAAACATTGATTTATCTACCATAAGATAGAACTCCACTCCCTCCTAAAAAGAACAGTAATAAGAATAATAATTAGTAATAAAAATAACAATTTGTGAAAATAAAAAAAAATCTTGTATCAACTGGCGGATATGGTTATACCTCCTAAGAACCCTATAAATAGAAAACAAGATCTGCCAAAGTTGTAATGTCGTACGAAGCAAAACGGCGAAGAATCTCCACTGAGAGAGAGACAAAGGATTCAAAACCAACACAACGATGAGAAACACCACTATTGGAGGGTCTTGGATCCCTTTTCGAACCTTATAGTTAGAATTTTGACCTATAAGCTTCATTGCCAAGCGAAGAAGGACAGTAAGGGTAAATGTGGTCCTAAGAGATTAATCACTTCTGCTTGACATCCTGCAGGTAGAAATAAAATCATGTGTTATGATAGGAAAGAGGGGAAAAATAAAAAATAAAATAAAAATAAATACGCAACACTCATAACTAATTGAAGATACAAGTTCAAAGAAAAAAAAAGTGAATAGCTATAACTGGACTGGATTTTGTCAATTTATTGGGCGGGATACCATCCTTTACTTCCTAAGCATATCCACAGTTATTGACATGGACTCTGTGACCCACAAAATTCTTTATACTTGAATGTATATAATGGTCATAAACGAGAACCGTAAATGCAATATGTTTCCACATTTTTCATTTCCACTCATAAGACTATATAAAATGCAGAGTCAAATAATAAAAAAACCTGGGAAATACAAAATACAGCACAACATCCAGCTCTCTCCACTCAGGTTGTTACAACTCTCCCTTATAAAGACTCCGTGCCAGGGTTCACGCAACCGTTCAGCAATAACTCAAGTATTGATCAGTTCATCAGCTGGAGTCTTGGGCACCTATCACTAAGTGGATTAGGAATAACGAGGATAATTTACCTATGGACATAACGAAAAGAAACTGGGTGACAAAGATATCGAAAAGTGCAGTGGTGAAGATATTGGAAATGATAACACGTCTTCTTGTGTATAATCTTTATTTCATGCTATTTCTCTTCTTCCTATTCTTATTCATTATTATTATCAATATCATTATTATTATTATTATTATTATTATTATTATTATTATTAATATTATTATTATTATCATCATCATCATCATCATCATCATCATCATCATCATCATCATCATCATCATCATCATCATCATCATCATCATCATCATCATTATCATTTTATTATTATTATCATTATTAACATTTTATTATCATCATCATTTTATCATGATTATCTTTATAATCCTAATAACAGTAATGATAATTATAATTATAATCATCATTGTTTTTGGAGATTTATTATAATAATCATTATTGTTTTGGGGGAATTATAATAATAATCATTATTGTTTTTGGAGACAATACAGAGTAGGAGTCTGTAGATAGAATCACAAAGAATCGCTCCCACTTGACTGGGCCAACAAGAGAACGCAGAAGGTTTGCAGAGGTGGAAGCAGAAGAAGGACGAGGCAGGAGGAAGAGAGGCGGTGCGGAGTGAAGTCGTACTGTGGGGAGGATGAAGCGTAGGAAGGGGGTGGGGGTAGACAATGAAGAAACCGTAGAAGATGGGGTGGAGAAGGAGAGAGAGGAAGGGGTGTATTCTGTAGGTTAAGTAATTACTGGGTGGATGAATCGGATTAAATAAAGTGTTGCAAGTAATCAGTAATCGGAGCCGTGATCAAATTTTGATAAGCTAGTTAATGAAGGGACGAGCTTTAATGCCCCAGTAATACGGACACTTTAGCAATATCTTTCCCAAACCAACATATTTAGAATCCGAGTGCAGTCATACACACAAAAAAATCGTATCGTGAATGAAGCTTTGAAACCCTACTAAGCGAAACAACACGGTTCACATCATTTGGGTGTTCGAGTCATTGAAGATGATAATCGCAAACTGGGCTGACAAAGATAACAAACACGAAAGTGCAGTGCATATATTGGAGCTGATAACATGCAAAGGAATATGTTTCAGTTCTCGTGCGGGTTATGGCTTGTGTCTATTTCGAATGACCTAGCTGTTGACGCGGCAGATAATTTTAAATAATCAAATCAAATCAAATCGTGACTCTACAAATCCAACACATTTCAAAATTCACCACTCAGCTTTGCCAATGTGCTTGAATTTCCAGCTTCGACTGGAAATAAAAACAAGTTGATTTCAAGTGTTTCGGTTACAGCAGCGAAAAGGGCAGAATATGTTTTGGCAGCAATGAGCAGTGCATCTGAAAATGGAGAGCATACTACCAACATAAAGATTAAAGTCAAATCATGATTATATGAAAACTGCCAATACCACTATTAACCACTGTCAAAGCTCGAGATACAGACACACAAAACAGAATAGTATAAACACCATTCCTATACTACCAAACACCCACTATACTTTAGTAATTAAACTACGAAGAAATAAAGATTAGAATTGATTCACTATGATATAAGAACTTTATCAATACCTATTAGACACTCACTTAGATTCTTAATTAATGTTGATGTAGGCCTACTGCATACGAACACCAAAAAATGTGAACATTATAGCAATACCTATTACAAGTTCATTGGGTTCTTCGGGAACAGCATAAGACAGAACGATGTCAATGTCCCTGTACTGACGAAGGTTAAGCCTGAAGCAAATCGTGATGGCTGTCATTCCGGGAAAATCCCCGAGATACCTCAGAAGCGTGTCTTTCCTTGGAATTCCCTCCTGCTGGAATTTCACGCCCGTCACTTCTGTCAGGGTAAGTCAGGTCACTTGTTAATTATACACCTTTTTGTTACTGTTATATACAGTTCTTCATTATTATTGTTGAGATCTTTATTACTATATTGAGATCTTTACTATTGATCTTATTATATTGAGATCTTTATTACTATATTGAGATCTTTATTACTATATTGAGATCTTTATTACTATATTGAGATCTTATTACTATATTGAGATCTTTATTACTATATTGAGATCTTTATTACTATATTGAGATCTTTATTACTATATTGAGATCTTTATTACTATATTGAGATCTTTATTACTATATTGAGATCTTTATTACTGTTATTATTATTATTGCGTGGAATTTGTTATAGTAGGATTTTAGTGTTTCAAGTCTTGAAGAAGTAGAGACTGCTGGGGTAAAGTATGTTTTAATGAATATTATTTGGCATACATATGAATTTACAACCGCGCTAATAATAATAACAAAAAAAAGGAAAAAAGGAGATTGCATTGTTTCCCAATGAAAGAGTGCCTCCCCCTCTCCCACACATTTTGCTAATGTTATTATTGAATCATCGCGCAATGTGGTCAATTCTTTTATGAAACTACCTGTAATTTATCTCCATCGGTAAGGCATTTTAATGAGAAAATATATCGATGATATATTGGTATGGTACTTGTAAACATTTCCGATACAAAACGCATTATCGTTTATGATTTATGCTTTATAACTGCCTAATTGCGATATTGGCAAATGGTTCTTATCAAATCTCACCTTGGGACACATATACGCACGTGTGTGTGTGTGGAAAGGAAAACAGCCACAATAAGAAATGAAATTAAAAAGTAGCGTTTCGAACTCTCCACGAGTTCCTTATCAGACGAATGATGCTCACTTGTACTTTTTTTTCGAAAGCTTTGCCGGTTTCGCCTATGTAGAATTTGGGGCATTGCGCCCAACGGCTCCTTTACACAAATGGCGGTTTTCATCGAGGGGCGGGTTGTACGGAATAATTAGTAGATTAGTGGGATTGTCCTATTGCGCATTACAGGAACGAATATGAAATTTCACTCATGGATGTGTCTGATTTAAGAAAAAACGAGGATATCCTTATTGTGGCTGTTTTCCTCTCCATTTTTGCTTACACGTTACTGTGTTTGTGGTTGTGTTCATATATATATGTGTGTGTGTGTGTATGTGTGTGTGTGTGTGTGTGTGTCTGTGTGTCTGTGTGTGTGTGTGTGTGTGTGTGTGTGTGTGTGTGTGTGTGTGTGTGTGTGCGTGCGTGTATGTATATGCGCACACATATACGAAAAAATAAAATTCCCCTCACCTTCACCCAGAGCCGAGGGTGTACCGAAGAAGGAGAAGCAGACACAACCAGCGACGAAAAATTGCCGAAGAACAGCCTGATGAAGAAGGAGATGAAGAAGGAAGAGCAAAGGCGCCTTCCCTCTTCCCCGTGACCGTTGTTTTGTTCCTCGTCTTGGATTCAGTTGGCTTTCCTCTAAGTGTGTGTCGAGCGTCCTTGGCCTCTTCATTTTGCAGGCTGAAGTGAAAGGTGGACGTGGTGCCTTGAAGATATCAAGTGCGAAAGTCCTTTAGGTGAGGCCGAGTCTTGAATGAACAGCGAAATTATGTTCATTTGAGGATGAATTAAGAATCTATTGCGAATTTGTTTTTTCGGCAGGACTGAATCCGGAGTTTATTGCGAAATTATATTTAGATAAGACCGAGCCCTGGATTTATTGCGAATTAATTTTTTAAGGCTAAGCCCTGGATTTATTGTGGATTTATCTTTAATTAAGACTGAGCCCTCAATTCATTGCGGATTTATCTTTATTTAAGACAGAGTCCTCAGTTTATTGCGAATTTATCTCTGGGTAAAACTGAGCCCTGAATCCAGTGCGAAATTATCTTTAGGTATAACTGAATCCGGAATCTATTGCAAATTTATTTTGTGCAAAGTTGTAGTATTATCGTGTAAACGTTATCACTCTTAGTATAAAACGCCAATAATATTTGTGTATGAAGAGGGCACCAGGCAGTAATTGTGC